ATAAGCAGTTAAAACAGGGCTTTGTGATTTGCATCTCATCAGCACAGAAATAGCTGCTAGTTCACTAATGTGACGTTGGCAAATATGAAAAGACAAGAAAGGATCCCCTTGCCTCTCTTTTTGTGTCATTACCCAAGAGGCTCAACACAGTTTCGGGTTAATGCACACACACAAACAATCCCAAACAAAACAACAGGAAAGAGATTAGGAAATAAGAAAAAAAAAAAAGGTAGGGAGTGGAAGAGTATAAAAATGGGTTGAAAGCTGAGTTAGAAATCATAACAGTGCCTGCATTGTTTACAGACCAGCCACAGTTCAGCACTACATCTCATGAGGGCAACCTCTGCAGAGATGGGAGAAGTTGACAGAGGGAGGACCAGCACTCCGCCAATGTGGACTAATGCTCTTACTATGTCCAAATCTACTTCTGTGAGTTGAACTGGTCGCTGTGTCAGGCTCATGGTTCAAAACGGTTGACCTTATTCTCCCATCACCTTGGAAGACATTTTGAGAGAACGCTCTAATGCAAATAAAACACTTTCACACAACCACAAAATAATCTGTGTGGAACAAGTGGAGGGTCACTCCTGTGCCTGTGTGGGTGCATGTTGCTATCTTAATAATGCTGATAATAATACATCTTTCAATTAAAAGTGAACTACATCATCTCTGTCTATAGACCAGGTTTTTGTTGGTCAATCACTCGTTCACTTTCCACTGTGTCAAGATGGGTCAACAATGAACCTGACCAAACCACATTTGAAGACCAACACACCCAAAGACGCTCAGATGGGCATAAGTGCATGAAGTATTTACACAGCGTGCGTTCTGCGAAGGTGATAACTTTGACAATCTAAGACCAGACATTTGTGTCGCACTTGGTGTCGCTTTGTGCCAAGTTTAGGAGCGGAACCTTGGAGTTTGAGAGCACAAGGAAAAATATTCTCTGCTCTGATAAGTAAAAACTTTAACCCTTAGGGCAGAACTCCAAACACTAATAGGGCTACACCATTATAGATGGTCATCATTTAATTAGAAAGGAAATCTGAGATTTTGTATTGTATTGAGATTTTGAGAATAAATTTGTAATATTAGGAGAATAAAGTCAAAATTATAAGTGCAGGAATATCAGAAGTTACGTTTTTGACTTTTGTTTAAATGAGGAATGTGGAGCTTCTTGTTAAGTGATACTTTAGTTTAAGTTTCACAAATAACAAAATATCTCTTGGCTCATCAGCACCACATTATCAAATGTATAAGCATTTTGAAAAGATTGTGGAAAAAAAATTGTCTATTCAGAAGAAAGAAACACACAAGCCAAGTGTGAACTGATAAAGTGTGAAGTCCATCCATTTACCACTTCTCTTGGTAAAATACACGTATGATCCTATGTGAAAGAAGCGAGAAGAACGAGAGTGTTGGCAAAAGGCAGCAGAAGGCAGCAGAAACTTACAGAGTTAGCAGCAGACAGAGAGGCAGCCGGCTAGAGACTGAAGGATGGAAAGTCTCTGTCAGAAGAGATGGAAGAATGTTGAAAATAAGAAAAGAAAAGAGAGAGGAGAGCAGCTCATAGGCCACCTGACTGGTAGTAATTCAGACACTCAAGGCAAAGCACAACAAACAGGACCACCGTGAATCATTTGAGAAAAGACATTAACATGTTCAGATGATTCACCTATGATTCACCTATTTCCATGTGAATAAACTTATAGTTCAATTTTGTTATATTCTAAATGTTACTTATTCATAGTAGGATGTGTAATAGTATAATGTCGAGGCTAAATCTACAAATTCATATGATTTGGAATTGGATATTATTTTAACTCATATGAATTTTATCAAATTAAAGTGGAAATCTTGCAAGATACACAAGACTGGCTTATCACTTACAAACCATTCATTAACTTAATTTTTTTAAATGTTAACAACAAAAACAGACAGTGTGTGACTCACCTGTTCCCCCAATTGGGGATACCTACAGACTGGATGATGAAGATCACCACTTGGCAGAAAAACACAAAGAAGAAGAAGAAGAAGCTGAAGGAGCTGTCAGTCCTAAAAATGAGAAAGCATGAAGTTCAGTAAAAACATTACAGTTTATTCATTACAAATATTCTCAAAGAAATGTGACCCAGTTAAAAATTGAAGTGATGACTTCGTCATCGACTACATTATAATTTAGGAAGCACAAATTATCTGCTGTATGTGAGAACGCGCGTCTGAGTTTGTCCTGCCAGCCCCCTAGTTGAAACGCTGCATAATGTCTGAGTGAGCCCATGTGAAAACAAAGCAGGAGCTTATTTGGAGAATTCACTGTGAGTGAGTGTGTGTGTTGAGGATGTTTGCAACATGCGATAGACGCAAAACTGAAAAAAGAAAAGACTACAAATATCCCAGGATAAAAAAGAGGTGTGATACACATAGAAGCAGAGGATGGGTAGTAACACTTACACATTTAATCCATTTCAATACTTTTCATTCCTACATTTATGATGGAAAATTACTTCTATTCTGTTACATTGGGCCACACACTTCTCACGACCTTTCTGTAACCAAAGCACTGCTGGCAACCAAAGACACTCCCCCCCGACACTGGTGACATCCAGTGAATGGACATAGAGTCAGGGACTTCTTATAAGTACCTGGGTCTTCACCTGAACAATAAACTGGACTGGACTGCTCATGCCAGTGACCTCTTTAGGAGGAGCCAGAGCGGACTGTATCTGCTCGGGAGACTAAGGTCTTTTGGTACAGGGGGCGCTACTGAAGACCTTTTATGACTCTGGTGGCATTGGCCATCTTCTTTGGAGTGGTCTGTTGGGGCAGCAGCAATTCAACTGCTGACAGGAAGAGACTGCACGGACTGATTAGAAGGGACCAGCTCGGTACTGGGATACCCGCTTGGCCCAGTGGAGGTGGTGGGACAGAGGAGGATGATAGTGAAGCTGTCTTCTCTAAAGGACAACCTCTCCCACCCCTACAGGACACTATCACAGCACCCTATTGAGTTTCTCTAAAATGTTTAAGGTCTTGACCTTCTAAGTAAAGTGCCTTGAGATAATGTATATTATGATTTGGCACTATACAAATAAAACTGAATTGAAATTGAATCTGACTGGAGAATCTCCTGTTGATAATGTCAAACATTCTACAGAGTTGATGTCTGAAAACTTAGTGTATCAAAGATTGACAGCCGACAGACTCACTTGAAGGCCTTGTAGACGGGCCGGTACCAGCAGAGGAAGGAGCAGGGGGTGAAGAGGATGAGCCAGAGAATAGAGAGGCCAAAATCCACACCGTAGGATGTATTCGTGGTGAAGAAAGCCAAACAAGCCAGTAGATTGAGGAACAGGGTGACACAGTTGACTGAAGAATCAGTGGAGAAAGCCACGTGTTAATCAGCCATTCGGTCAATTTATAATCATTTTAATATTGGTCTTATCAAACAATGCATTGTTAAACTGCAGTAAAAAAGATGACATGTCATCAATTCCTGGAAGTTAACCGTTTTGTTTGATGATTAATAAACTCAAATCTCTGTATGTGTAGCGTATTTATGTTTCCACAACGTAGCCTGTTTACAGAAACACTGTTACTACTGTGAATCACAAAAAGAGTGATAACAGTTCCTATAAACCCCAGGGCCATTTATTGAAACACAATATATGTTTGTGCAAAATTAGGTTTTAAAATTCAAAAGTTAGTTTCAAAAAAATTTCTGTATATAAGAGTAAAAATGCTAATATACAACTAGTATTATCTCCTGTGGTTGACTGTCTCTGCCAACCAGTGCAGTTTGAGATACTTTTTTTTTTCCATACTCAAATTATTTCACCGTGACCTTTGATCACTGAAATCATAAATGTTACTCTATGTGTCCAAGAGGCAGAATTTGAGGAAATTATCTTAAAATATCAGGTTCAAGAGGCTAAAAACAAGTTTTCTGAGGCCACAACGACCTTTGACTTCCAAAATGTATTCATTTAATCTGTGAGTTTAACTGAACACTTTCAAACTAGGAGGGCGCTCTTAAAGCGAATTCCTTTGCCAATCGGCTAATAGGTGTGTGCAGCGGTACTCGCTCATCCATAAAGCTGTTGTGACATGCAATGCCGTTCTCTCTCTTCACACCAGAACTGGGTTTTCACTCTTGTGTAACTGTGACTGTGTAACTGTCATTCAGAAGCTGTGAACTGTATCATATGTGAATTTCCTTTTTACATTTCAGCCCTAACACACAAAGTCACACCTGTAATTTTTTATGTACTTACACATCCAGAGATAATATATCATCTTGCACACTCTCTGATACTCGGGAGGGATTTCCTCTGAGAAGTCTTGATAGAAACACGGTTTGATGGGGAAGCTTCTGGGAAGTGGAGGCCAGTTGTTCTCTTTACCTGTCAACAGAGAAACAATATAATCCCTGTTAGAAAGGAAGCGCATTGTCAGAAATATACCACTGTGGGAAAGGCGGGAACCAGATAAACAGAAGCATTTGTATTCTGGTAGGATAGATAATGTCCCCTAATATTTGTTATTAGGGATATTACAGTGGGAAACATATACTTGGCAGCACAGCATAACTAATCCATGCACTCAAAAATAACATTTTTTTTGTCAAATGAAATGATAATGAAACATTAACATCTGGAATAACTCTACAATGATGAGGTGGAAAATACTGGTAAAAGAATTAAGGTTTTATATGTACAAAGATATAAAAAAAAGAAATATTTATACATTTTGATTTCATTATTTTATTTTATATTTTTTTAATGCAATTTGTGTCTGTTTCTGTGTACTGTATATATATATGTATATAAGTGAATGTGTATGTGTACATAGGTATGTGTGTATTTATGTGTATATCAATGTGTATGTGTATATGTGTGTATTTGTAAGTATATGTGTATTTATGCATGCGTATGTGTACGTACTGTATATGTATGCATGTGTATGTGTAAATCTATGTGTATCATACACAGTGTATGCATATGTGTTTGTGTACACTTGGTATGTCCTTATTTGGGAAAATTAAGAATCTGTGACCACAATTCAGTGATTTTGAGGACGGTAGGTTTAAAATCCATGTAAATATAAAATAAAAGTAATAGGTGATGCAACATCTGTAGTCGTCCATTTGTATAACTAGCATAGTTTTGTCATCCTGTGTCAGAGTCTGTTTCCTTCTCACTCCCCCGCTCACTTTACACTTTAACAATAAACACCAGCACTGATCACAAGTTATTAGGACACGTACAGTACTGATGTTTACTTTGTGTTTGTTTGATCCGCTCTAGAGTTTATGAGACACATATTTAAACATGCTACACAACACGAGGCTTAACGTGACACACAAAGTCAGGACATCAGGGTTAAAGTAGTCGGACGATCTGGAGTCATGATCCAGAGTCATGATCCCACATCATTGATTAATAACTAAACACGTGGTTATCAGTTCGTGTGTAAAGAGGGACAGAGACGAACACACATACACACACACTCATGCACACACATGCACACTCCTGCAGAAAGAAGTTCTTGCTGCAGATTATGATGCAACGCGTTTTAACTTCATTGTTGCAGAAGAAACCTTATTTTGTAAATTACAGCACACTTGTAATGACAGTAAAGGTCTATAATACTTTTTAAAGCACTTTCTAAATAAATGCTGAGTTCATATTTGTCTGATTGTATAAACTGATGAAAAAGCAGCCATGTGCACTAATATAGAAAATTCTGGATGTGATACTTTGAAATGAGATGCGAGAATTGTTGACTGCTAAATTATAATTGATCAAATTATGAGGCTAGTCAAGATGTACACCTCTAGCGTTAATGACACCATTTTGAGTATTCCCTATTGTATTGAATAGTACGCTGTTTACCCCTGAAACTCCAAAAGTGTTGTGTGGACTCAAACATTTCACCCACCCATCAGGATAGTTGTGATCAGATACGTGGTTGATTTTAATTTTTGGGTGAACTATCCCTTTAACAGAGGAGAGAAGAGGAGAGGGTTTGTCTTTAATGACCTGTCGGGCCTCTGCTCTGCATCTCCTGCTCTCTGCGGTCCAGCTCAGCAGCTTTTCTCTCCAATTCCTCCTGCTGCCTCAGCAAGTTGGCCTGAGCTGCTGCAGCAGTTGCCTGAATGAGGAGAGTCACAAGCACTTAAGTAAGCAAACACATCAGATGTACAGACATACCAGCAGCCCGCAGTACACACAAATTAGGAGCTTAGACATATTGTAAAGCTAAATTTACTGTATTTTTAATCTGGGGTAGGGATACAACTCTGTAAAATATTACACAGGAACATTTAGATGCTGAAAGCCTTTCTGAGCATCTTTTACATGTTTACAGTATATATGGGCTTTTTTCCCCCTATCTTTATTCAAGAGCATAGTCTTTTGTTTTAAGAGTGAGTGTGTTAGCCTCATATCGTCATGAGTACCGTATGGGTGGTCACTTTAACAAGGATACATGTCCTACACACAGCCTTAGTTGTGTTCAGTAGCATTTTTTGGTTTACATGGACCTTACAACACTCACACACTCCCACCACCACTGATTCTAAAGACCACTTGTTTGTTACTTTTGATTCTGTCTTTAGTTATCCTCAGGTGGCTTAATAAATATATTGTTGCACATTATAACTTTTAACAGTGGTGTGTCTGCCGTTTTTGTCAAGAGCCGGGTTGTGACATCTTATGTCTCTTTGGTTTATTATGTTCTGCTGTGTTTTTTGTTCCTCCTTTATTTTGTAGGAAACTGAAGCGTACAGATATAACAACTGTGTGAACAACATCAGTTTATGACCCCAGATACAGGGAAGTACTGTCCTTTGATCTAATAAGCTCTGCCAAAGAGGTTAAAAGTTCACCCTGGTCAGTTTGTTAGCAGGTGATTTTGTTAGCTAGCAGGATTATAAGCAGATCTAGTGCAGATTCAGATTAGGCGGAGGATCCTGAAATTTTTTTTTACCTTCTAAAACAATATGACATAGGGACATTTACAACTTTTTCCCTATTTTCTCAAGGAATCATTTTTGGATCTTGATTTTTTTTAAATCTGGCAAGTTTAGGGAACTGATATCTATGAATTTTTGCAATTTAGTTCAACATAGTATTTTTCTACTGCAGCTGTAAGTGGAGGGTTTGGCAGAGAGCATATGAAGTCTCCACTAACATGTGACTCACCTGTGGACTGGGCTCTGTAGATGGCTGTAACACAGCAGGCTGGTAGGGAGCAGTGGAGGCTGGAGCTGAGGGAGTCGTTAGGCCATCCTGAAAAACAATAAAAGAAAACAAGAGTTGTATGAGCATGCGACAACAAGATCAAGAGAAACATGCGAATGGAGGAGGTCAATGAAATTAAAATTACAGAGGATTGGAAGAAGCAGGAGGATGGAAACAATAGGTAAAAAAAGAGGATGGAAGAGAACAAATCCAAAACATGCTGGCAAAACAGCAAGTAGACAATGACAATCATGAGGAGGAGAATAAGTGAGACAGAAGAAAAGACAGAAGAAAATTAAAGACAGAAATGAGCAGGGAGAGAAAAGAGATAAAAACAGGAAGAGAAGGACTGAGAGAAAAACAAAAGAGCAAAAAAGATAACACCACAGGTTTTAAAAGTCTTACTGTGGGATGGCCAGGGAAAGGGTTGTACTGGTCAACTGTTTCTACGCTGGAGTTGGTCACTTGTGTGACAGAAGGATCCTGAAAAAACATAAATCACCATCAGCTCATCACCACACACAAACTACAAGTATTTAGTTATTTGATTAGGCAACAGGCTGATCTTCGAATATTCCCCCTCTAATATGACATGTATCCTAAAATTATCACTCTATTCTCATAATATCACAACTTTATTCTCACAACATTATATCTTTATTCTCAAAATCTCAATTTTTTTCCCTTTCAGTGGCCCTTATTAGTAATATAATTATTAAGAAAGAGATAAAAGAGACAATTCTGAAACATCTTTCACCACCTGAGATTCCTTTTTAACTTTTGAATTCTTCCTTTGCAGAGTGCACCAGACGCTGCACCTGTTGACTTGAATTTACCCTAAACTTGAGTCTGAGGTATTTGACCTCTGAAGAGCACAAAAGAAAACATATGGAACTTTCATTTCCTGAAACAGTGAATGTAAAAGTAAAGTAGAGAAAAGAAAAGTCTCAAACCGCTGTTACCAATTTGAGAAGTGAAGTTAAATAACCTCCAGCTATTGTTGCAGCAACCCTTCAAGGTCCTGTTGAATCATTATCTTAGAAAAACTAATTTCTTAACAGGAGGCAGGTACAGACCATTGGTAAACATTCACTGACTGAAATTGTTGCCTCACTCCACATTACTTATCTGGTCTCAACACACCTGTAAAACTTCCCAGCAGGAAACTTAAGGATGACGTGCAGATTGTACTCAATACTTTACATATGGGTAAACCTAAACTGATATTAGTTTAGATATTTGTTAAAGTGATCATCCCCCTATATTTGCTTTACATTTTGTCTGTTAAGGCAGAACTCTTTGTTGATCAGCACAGCCTATGGCAAACTTCAGCAGAATGAGTTTACCATATGGAAAGGCCAGAAAAATATCCTGCTGAGTGACAACTGAAGAACTGCTCATGCCTTTTGATGACATGTTAAAACCTCTTTAAGTAGAGTGATGACTGCCATTAAATCTCTAAGCTGGGACAAGCTAGTAGTTGAGGTTCACACACTTTTCCATTGACATAATTTTCTGAAGAGGCTTTAAAATGTTACTATTTCAAACCTAAAAGACAAAAAAAATAATTTAGGATGAAATCAACATGATGTCCTGACCCAAATATCTCTGTACCAGGAACCAGGATTTACTGTTATACCCTTTGAATGCTTGGGTGTGGCTGTTTTATACATTTCATAACTACACTGGAATATTGCTACTAAACTGACTTAAGCTGTTCGAGTACCGCAACACTACCTCAAAGAAAGACACATTCATGAAACACAGCATACAGGGTCATGTTGAAGTGCACAACATGGAATTGACCTCATATTACAGCTGGATTACTCGGTTATTTATTCAGCCATTTCCACACCCGGCAGACAAACAGTGGTCTCATCTGACCTCAGAGCATTTGTGCACCTGATATAAAACACACTCTACACCACTGTATAATTGACTGTTATGTAATGTTATGAAAAAAAAAGTCATATACTCTTAATTTTGATTTGCAGAGCAACATGTTAACAAGCTCAAAACATACTTTTAAAGAACAGCTGGTTATTTTTTGCTATTACTTATGCTTATTTAATTTATTTTTTGTCATTGTTTTTAAATGATGTATTATTTTACCTGCTGTCTTTGAGTTGAGAATGTGTATTCTATCATTTGCTGTCTTTGATTTTAAAAAACATTAATTTGCTTCACTCAAATTAGGGACTAAAGCAGGGTGTCACAAACAGTGCTACTTCTTGGTTGATATTTTTTCTTTTAGTGTGTCCATCTTTGCAGAAGTGCAACATTAAATCAGGAGACGTCCCCCTTAAAAAAACAATGTTAACACTATGTAGACAATGATAAAATCTGAAATTTATCCCGAACTGTTGCCTGACCTCAACCATCTGTCTGGCCTTACCTCACTCAGAACAGTGAGCCAATCAGTGGAGAGGCACTGAGCCCAAACAGAAGCTAGGCACTAAGCCTTTCTTCTGATTGACTTACCAACCTGTCGCTGCAGGAGCTCCAGAGATAAACATCAAATAAAGCACAAGAAAGGTGGACCTTTAATAAATTAACAATTCCGATTATTATTGATAATTTTTGAGAAAATATGGCAAAGAATTCTAGTTTCTTAAATGAATACTTTTAAGGGCACAAAAACAATGAGGTTACAGTGCTTTCTATAGACTGGACTTGGAGGCTACATCCTGCAGAATAGAAATGATATGAGCAGCACCAATGCAGGTACATTGATAAGCATGAAATGTAGTGTCTTTGGATAATATAGATAGTTAACTGGCAGTACAATTAATGTCCATTTACAAACTTCTACTCCACTTCATGTCAGCAGAAAATAATGTCCTATTTCCTGCACTACATTTATCTGACAACTGTAGATACGATTAACTTATATTAAGAAGGGCACATAAAATATTATGAGCTCAACAAATAACATCTATTATCTTAAGATTAAATCAGTGGTTTCATTCTACTTCAACATGTGAAGTTAGTTACAAAAAATTCTCACATGGTTTAATTTAAACAGCTCCTATCCAATGATTACTTAACAATCAAAGATGAGAGAAAAGTCCCAAAACAGATTTCTTTATCAGAATTTCATTTATGAGAGCATTTAGTTGATAGTACATCTGTACTTTTACTTGTAATGGAGTATTGTAGTATTTTCACCTAAGTAGAGGGTGTTTTAGTATTTTCACAGTAAAGGGTTCTTCCACCATTGAATTAAATCACAAAGTTAGTAGTGACTCTTGTAATGTGAATAAAAAGGTTTGACATAAATTCTTCATTAGCAACAATTTAACTTCCTGCAACTGACCACAATGGATGTCCCGCCCCATTTTCTAGCACAGCTCGCTGATTGGTTGAAACCTTGTCAATCAGCCGGCTTCGCCTAATGGCTTTCAAGACAGCAGACGTTGGTCCCGCCCCGACATCAGCAAGTTTCCGTTTATCGAATATGTCAGCACCCGAATGAGCCTCAACAAGCAGCGGGCACACTTACGTGGAAGGGGTTGTCACTGGCGGGCGCTGCGAACGGGTTGCTGTCAAGTTCTGACATTTTGAAGAAGGCGGCGGGTCTCTCCTCTGTGAGCGGGGAACAAACAACTCTCTCCTCCCTGGTGCTGCGGTTGTCTCTGCGAGCCACTTCCTCGAATGGAGCGGACTGCGCATGCGCACTCAGACAGCTGTACAGTGACGTGTACGTCTGTTGACACATGAAAGCACGTCCAACCAAAGCACGCCCCCTGTGGACCGTGTTCCAGTGTTTTCATTCATTCTTCACTGTGTAGCTCTCTATTGTAGATACCATAGACTGTCCTGTATATACCATAGATTGTACTGTAGATACCACAGATTGTACTGTAGATACTATAAACTATACTGTGTATACCATAGACTGTACTGTAGATACTATAAACTATACTGTGTATACCATAGACTGTACTGTAGATACTATAAACTATACTGTATATACTATAGATTGTACTGTAGATACCAAAGACTGTACTGTATATACCATAGATTGTACTGTAGATACTATAAACTATACTGTATATACCAAAGACTGTACTGTAAATACTAAGCAACAAAGAGTTGCTCACCTACGCTGGTTAACACGTCACGTTTTTGCGTATTTAAGTATTTAAATAAAAATTCACTCATTGTAACCTCACCACTATGCTGATGGAGGGGTGGGTGAAGTGTTTGAGTCCACAAAACACTTTTGGAGTCTCAGTGGTAAACAGCATTGCAGCCAAATCCAGTACAATTGAAGTAAATGGTGACCATTTCTTCAGACGTAAAAAAAATACTGCTCCTGTGGTGTCATCCAAGTTTCCGTAAGCCCCGACATTCAAATTAGACTACAAAGGAGGTCATGTACACCATGTTTTTGGCCTAAATGTCCGATTTTAAAATGTTAAAAGAGTAAAAACAAATAGCAATTGGGATTAAAAACAGAAACATGTATTAATTTTATTTAAAATAAATAAATAAAAGTCATGTCAACATACAGATACCATTTAAAGGTAAAGAATGATATATGATATATATCGAATCTGTTACACGATTAACAAGGCGTACACATTGAATGGGTATAATTAACTATAAACATACATATTACAATATATATATTATTGAGATACAAAACATAAAGATTAACAAATGATTTGAATGGGTATAGGTTCATAATAGGGTTTGTTTTCATCACCCACATTGTTTTGTTAGAAAAAGTAAAATTTTGCTTTTGTTTTACGTGCGTCGCATTTGGAGAGCAATCCGGGCGAGCCGTGACGTCACCGGCGGACTGACAGCCGACGTCGCAGTAATGGAGGAAGTGAGAGGTGAGTGAGCTTTTCTCCTTCAGCCACTTTAACTCACGTGTTTTCATCCATGTACGTGTACTTCGCTGCTGCTGCACAGGTCCACACACACCACACGGTACCGGAGGAAGCTTTGTAACCTGGTGTGAGTGAACTAACAGCTCGGTGTCAGCGAGCATCCACATCCTCAGCCCGGCTCGGCTCGGCTCGGCTCAGCTCGGCTCGGCTCGGCTCGGCTCTGCTCGGCCGGCTGTTTGCGTGATAACCCGACGCAGATACACTGTGTGAAGGAAGCAGCAACATGCAGCTCAGGCCTGTTTCACCACATGAGCGAAATATCTGCAGCTATGCGAGCTTCCCTGTGCACAGTCGATTCAAACAGGCGAACACGCTGGCAAACGTAAAGCTGCTTAGTGTGTCAGTCAGTGCACGGTCAGCTGACATTACAATGTAAAGCATCACTGGGGGAATCTGTGTATTTACTGGTTTACAAGGAGGATATACATTTACTCAGAGTGAGGCTGATTCTCTCTGTGCAAATGAGCCACACCTCAGTGTACTGCTCAGCTGCTCACTGAACTAACCTGTTTTTACACTGCAGGAGCAGGGATACATGTTCTGTGGGTTCTTTTTTCAAATGTTATTGTCTTAAATAAACAGTTAGAAAAATGTGAATACAATAGATACATCTGGGAAAAATGCCCTTATAGTTACCTGGTTCAGTGTGACATCTACACATGTGTTTTTATGTCCAACCAGTTATGAACAACCTTCATATATTCAGGCATATGTCCTCATTTGTGAGGCTATAACCAGCAAATCTTTTGACATTTTTACTTACTTTCCAAAAAAGTTTAATGATTAAGTAGTTGCAAGTTAACTGTGTCCATCGAACAATTTATTAAAAAACCAATCATTGTAGCTTGATATTACAGATTGACTCACTAACAGTTGTTCCCTCCACAGTGTTTCCCCTGACCTGTGCTGTGCAAAATTATGCATGGGGGAAAAGTGGGCTGGACAGCGAAGTGGCCAAACTTGTGACTGGCGGAGATCCACTCGCAGTGATAGAGGATGGCAAGCCCTATGCAGAGGTAAGGCACTGGTTCATTGAGAAAGTATATCAAAGCACTTACGTCCAAACTTGAAAACACAAAAATCAGAAGATGAGAATGTCAACTAACTAGTTGATGCTTTCTTAAATGTATTACTAATTCAACCCATCGGGGAGGTAAAATAAATGAATTTATGGGAGCATCAACCAGTGTGCAGACATTCTTGTCTTCTGATTAAGATTCTGGTTCATGTAGACGGGTCCTTGAGTAGGAAGCTTGGTAATCACCTGGACTGATAAATACCAATACTTTCATTTCATTGCAACAGCAGCTGTAGATCAGTTGAAAACACAAGAACAGGCTTTTCTCTGAGATATAATTTAGCATTTTAGGATCTTCAATATTTTGATGTTTTGCTCCAGTGTTCCCTCTTGACATCAGTACAAAGATGCATCATTCAAATTTGAGAGATGAGATGAGCAGTGTGAATCTAGTTTTAACTGTGGTGGTGTTGCTCTTTATCTTGGCTGAGTGGCTCGTTCTCATGCCTGTCATGTCTTTTCTTTATTTAGCTTCACAAGCTCTGCATGGTTCGTCACGAAGGTCATTAGTTCAGGTTATGGCAGTGCTGACATTTTCCATATTAATGTCACATGCTGTGGTTGGGCACACTGGCTTTCATGGTCATCTGCAGGGATAGTTTGGATGTCTGCACCACAGTATGTGACTTAATGTGTGTATATTTCTTCAGCTGTCCTACAGTGTAGATTTTAGTTTGACATAAGAGGAAAGTGACATAAAGCACGTGTTTACTCCTGCGGACAGGAATTATTCACAAAGCAGTATATAAACATATTTACAATGAAGAAAGATTGAATGTATATACTTTCAATAATCTCTTTCATATATTCAATTATGTTTTGTATAGCGCCAAATCACAATATACTGTAATGTCTGTGCATAATGTTCTGTTGTATCTGTGTTTATGTTCTGTGTAACCGTGCCAGATGTTGATTGGCTAATCTGCAGGTTCAGCAGTGGGTGGAGTTAAGGAGTGGGAAGTGACAGGGAAGTTGTGTATGTGAGGGAGTTGAATAGAGCGGAGAGTTATAACGGGAGTGTTATCAGGAAGTATCAGCGTGAGTTGTGGCTGTGACAGCAGCTCGTGTTCAGGGACCCATATTGTGGTTGAATAAAACACTGAAAGTAAGACAACGACTCGGGCTCTCTCCTTCCTTAACCAGAGGTATTACAATACATTGTGTCAAGTAAATAGTAAGGTGAGACCTTACAATATTATAGAGAAATCCAATAGTTCCCAGTGCCAATTCCCTTTTAACAGGAAGAACACTAACATTATCAATAATATTATATTTCTGTCTGTGGAATAGTACATCTCATACAGCTCAGGACTGACCCAGGACACTGACTAATATACTAACACAAGTATAATGCTGTCTGTTCCAGCTGTGGATGGGCACCCACCCAAAAGGTGATGCCCAGATTAAAGACAACAGGATTGCTCAGACCACACTGGGCCAGTGGATCGCCCACTTCCCTGCCTGTCTGGGCTCCAAGGTTAAGGACACCTTCCAGGGTCAGCTGCCCTTCCTTTTCAAAGTGCTTTCTGTCAACACAGCTCTGTCCATACAGGCCCACCCCAACAGAGTGAGTTCACAAACACACACCTACACAGTGTTCATTTGCTGGGACATTGTGTAGCAGAGAATAATTTTAAAAAAGCAGCTTCGTAGTTTCTATGTTTGAATAAAGAAGTACACAGTATCATCAGTATTCCATGAATAGAATAAATATACTACAATATTCTTACTAAGAAAATGTACATTTCTCAAAGTGGGGCAATTTTACACTTTAGTCTGTTTACATGTCTTGGTACTTCTGCATATGTATAAATAAAATGTGTGGATCCAGAGGGAGCAGTAACCCAAGGGTACAGTAGTTGCTGTGAGCAAAAAACACCTGAATCCTCGAAGAAAAACAGGCTTGAAAACTTAAAATGTAATGCTAATCTGTAAAGACTTGTTGCCTTTACTAAGAAAAGGGGGCTATATATTGGGCTGCATTAAGTTATCACATTTACTCAAATACGATAAAATCCTAAATTCAGCTAGTGGTTATTAAACAAACTTAAAGTTTTCAAATTTTCATAATGCTGTGTCCTGAATATATATAATATTTAGTTCAACCAGGTTTGAATTGTTTTATGATGAACTGCAGGCACACTAATATTTTGAGCATACTGTATGACACATTATTTAGCACAGTTGGTTTGACGTTGTGGCCATTGACCTTTCTGTCATTATGGTTTGCTCAGGAGTTAGCCGCTCGTCTCCATGCTCAGTTTCCGGAGCACTATCCAGACAGCAACCACAAGCCAGAGATGGCCATTGCACTCACCCACTTCCAGGGCCTCTGTGGCTTCAGACCAGTGGAGGAGATCCTGGGATTCCTTAAATGTGAGTCTCAAAGTCCCACAGGGTGCTCATGGATTGATTTCGGTCAGCAACTGCAGGAGCAGAGGCATACAAGATGACATAGCTTTATCTACTAAATATTTCATAAAAGATTCTTTCATACCTCATGCATTTGTGTGCGCATTTATCAGGTGTCCCAGAGTTCCATGCTCTAGTGGGTAACGAGGCGGCAGAGGAGCTGCGGAGCAGCATGGGAGATGCAGAACGTACAGGCCTAGTCCTGAAGAAGTGCTTCACCAGGATGATGAACTGTGAGAAGAAGGTGTTTGTAGACCAGCTCAACATGCTGGTGAAGAGAGTCACAGAGGATGGTGAGGACACTGAGGAAACAGGCTAATGAGCAGGATTTAAATAAATGGATTTCTGGTGTTTAATTAGCTTAGTCAGTGCTGACTCACTATCAGCACTTCAAATGACTGCATTGAGCATTAAGTTGTACTCGCTGTTTTCACAGATGAGCACATGTGCCTCCTGTTTTTCTCAAAGATAACCTCAGTTGAAGTAGCTATAGTAGAGCAGACGAAAAAAAATGAAGATAGAGCATTTTGGTTGAACTGAATATGTGAGTATGGGGCAATAATCTTTTATTTGATCGTCAACAATCGGTAATGTGATGTATGTAAGTGAAAAGAAAACATCCACAAATATGTGGTAAAAAGCAGCACTAACAGGTACAGAGAAATGTGACTGTTTTATGAGGTTCAGTGATTAATTCTGTGAAAGGATTTTTCTGAAATGGATAGTTTACTGCCAGCCTCCAAGTCATACAAAATATTTTATATTGTCCTTAAAGGGCTATATATAATAAATTAATCCTTAAACATTCTTGTCATTGCATAGAATTTAGTTTGCACAAAAATGAGACAATATTGAGAGCAACCTATTACATGTTACATGTTATAATCCTAAAAATATGGGGCTTTAAAACACATTTAGAAAAAAGCCCCTGTCAGTTATTCAGCACTTTTTAACATGTTTTACTGACTGTCACACTGATGGGTGTTTGACACATGCAGGTGCGGCAGGGAAGGACACTTCGAGCAGCAACGGTGACCTGCTGCTCCGTCTCCATTCCCAGTATCCTGGAGACATTGGCTGCTTTTCCATCTACTTCCTCAACCATTTGGTGCTGGATCCTGGTCAGGCCATGTTCCTGGGAGCCAATGAGCCTCATGCTTACATTTACGGAGGTCAGCAGATGCCATTTCTTTACATTTAAAGTGAGATTTAGTGTACTAAATTGTATCCAAACCAGATTACAATGAGTACAGAGGTAGAATGCGGCTGTTGACTCTCCAGTGTCGCTGCAGTGCTTCTATATGACAGGAAAGCTGCCGGTGAAGCATTAAAGGATAAGGCTGATGTTATTCTGTATTTTTCTTGTTGTCAGCCAACCCCATGAAAAGCCAAAAACCAGGATTGAACTAGAATGACACTCAGTATAACACAATCTCCCTAAATACATTCAAGCTGCACCAAATTCCACACACTCATTTAGTTCACTGATTAAACCGTACAGACAATACAGAATATTAATAAAAGTATTTTTTTTTGTTTCTGTGTCTTTCAAGACATTGAAATTTAATAAGTTTTTTTTAAAACCACTGAAACAGCAATTTTTGAGGCTAATCAAGCAATGGGTGGGAGCCAAAGTTGATATTTATTTTAATCTCAGGCTGATTGTATCCAAGATCGTATCTGACCATTGATTTTTCCATATGAAGGAGAGTTCACTCGGTTTATTTAAAGCTCTGTTTCCTTTTCTGTCTATTCATCAATCCATGTAGACTGTATCGAGTGTATGGCCTGCTCAGACAACACTGTGAGGGCCGGTCTCACGCCGAAATACATTGACGTCAACACGCTGTGTGAAATGCTGAACTACAGCCCCGCCCCCGCCAGCGCCAAACTCTTCCCCTGTGTCCAGGATGCCTCAGATCCCTGTGTGTCACTGTTTGACCCCCCAGTGCCAGACTTCACCGTCATGAGGATACAGGTAGGACTGTTCAGTCATGATTACACCGTGGCAGGTTTATTCCAGGATGAAAAGTGCAGGTGATTAAAAAAATTAAATCAGTTGTGTACTGCGTTTCCACAGGGTCTTTGAAAAGTCTAAAAAAAAAAGATTTAATACAATTTAATAAAAAAAAGATTTTATATTTTTAGGCATTAAAGTTTTTAATATGTGAAATTATTATGTACTGGGTCTTAAATATGTTTAGGTCTTAATTATGTTAATGGTGGCACGCATATTTTGTAATGTCTCCCTTTGCAGTTCAACGTTTGTAGTTTTTTCTTCATGATACAGATATTAGCACGCTGTTATTAAAATGGCAACCGAGACAAACATGGAACTGATAACTACACTCAGCTTGACTGGTAAAGATGATGGATACCCACTGTCTCTGTAGTTAGCGAGATACCGGTCAGTCTCTACTCGGCTCATCACCTTGTCCTCAATTATAGAGAAGTGCAAATTATTCTGACACTGATATTCCTTTATATCTGTTGTACTTGACATAGGTCTCAATTGTCATTCATTATGGTCTTAATAAGGACTTACGAAGTCATACATTTAACATGTTTAAACCTGCAAAAATCATGTGTAATAAAAGGGCAACATTTCAGATAAAGAAAATAAAATGCTTGATGAGAAAGAGTTTATAGTAACATGTTATGGATGGCTAAACCATCCTATCAACCAACCGATTTTGTTAATTTAAAAAAAATCCATAGCACTTACTAAGTTGGTTTGAGTCAGCCCCCAAATACCTTCAATTGTTTAACCTGCATTGAATGAGGGGAAAAAAACTGTACTTGTTGCACCTGCAGTTTCCCTGCTATGACATCATAATGTTGGCTGGGGAAACAAATTGATATTGAAGGCCTCAAAATTGTAGACTATTAGAACTATTAGTGAACAAGCAAAATGGTTTAATAACAGGCTTATCAGAGGATTTCACACATAAAAACATCACCCATCAACTTTTATGTAGCTTCATACAAAACATTCTCACATTTGTGATCATGAGAGCATTTTAAAAATATCTACTTTGGTCTAAGAATTGAGTCATTTTCACACAAGGTAACAAGTAAACACAGAAGGATGTGTATAATCAACAATTACTTTAATTATTAGTAATATGTTTCATTTACAGATATGCTCAGCTTGTTCTTACCCATCCTTCCTCTAGGTCCCAGCCTCAGTGAAGCAGTACACAGTGGCCCCAGTCGACAGTGCCAGCATCCTCCTGGTCATCGAAGGTGAGGCCACGGCAACCTCCACTGCTGCTCTCTCTGATGTCACACTGAGGCGGGGCACCGTCCTGTTTGTCTCAGCCAATGAGAGTGTGTCCCTGCACATCACCACCCCGTCAGGGATGATCATGTTTCGAGCCTGCTGCCTCCTGTAATTGTGAGTCTGTGGCTGTGTGCAAAACATCATACTACCTGTGCTCAAGATTGCTGGACAAGGGACATACTTAGAATTAAGGTAAAATATACTGGCTTGTCAGTTTATTAGGTACACCTAGCTCATTGGACCTGATGCAGTCCAATACTGCAATAAAGCGTACTGTAATGAAGTTCATAGTATTCATTTTGTGCTATGTTCATTGCTGTTTGTTTCCTTTAACGGGATTACATAACTACTGAGCCACTTTTTAGTAGAATGTCCCTCTAGCACAGAGAAATATTTCTGTTTTGATGTTTACTTTTTTAATGAATTGGCTGGACAAAATAATGGAAAGACGTCTCAGTGTCACACAAAATTGCAGCCTCCAAAAGTCTGCATAGGTTCTTATCAGGTGTACCTAATAAACTGGCAACTGAGTCTGCAACACTGAACAGCACCCTACATATGATATACAGTCCAAAGTACAAACAACACTGTTTGAATCACTTGACCTTCATCAGGTTACTGAGGAAGAACCTGATTATTTATGGAGTTCAAATGATCAAATCTTGAGAATTAAAGTTCCTGATCTTGAAAACAGCAGTTGAGAAAACAACCTAAGCTGAAGTCCATTCTACAGCGTCTCCAATTCAGTAAGGGAGACCCTACCTGCTGATGAAGGTCAATCTCTACGACTACTAAACTAACCCTCTGTTAAGGTAACTTTTTATTGGGAGCACTTCAGTGTTACTGACTGTTTTACTCTTTATTCTAAGCACATTTCCTGTTACCAGACCTGTTACCCGCTATTATCTCAAAGTCAAATCAGGACCTGTTTCACAACCCATCACCTCTAATTAAACACAGGCTACATATACATTCACTCACACTAAATGGGTTATGGCCTGTTTGTCCTCCAGTTGGTTGAGTTGTGGTTGTCAAAGGTTGTTATATTTATTTAAAGCTCATACATTGTGGCTATTTTAACTAGCAAAAAAGCCACTGTGAACTGTTCACTACCAGCTATCTCTGTCTCTATTGTGACTCATTTTCATGTACAAGCGACTTCACTGTGGGCAGTGAGTTATTTCCATGGAAGTGAAGGTGTTCACAACATAACAAATCCTTGTAACTGTTAAAAAGTACTGCACAATCATTTTGATTTCGGATTTCTCATTCTCATCTGATTTCTCTTTAAACCCGCGTCTGCTCCGTAGATTACCTGTCGGCTACCCGACCCGGTGCAGGACTCTAGTAGATGATAAGTTCACGCTGGTGCAGTAAACCACCAATAACTACTTTGTACGACTATGGCACCACACCGCTGATGACTGAACATGTCTGCCCAGGATCACTGGTGCATCTTCCTGCTTCATCATTTAAACTTGAACAAGTAGATAAAAAACATTCTTATATTAACAGTTGAGAATATATAGTGTAATACAACTGAGATGCCTGTGCATGTTTAATTTAGAGCAGTAATACCGGGCAGGAACTTCTTTTTCTGTGACAGTGGTAGAAACCACACCAGTCACACTGATGTTGACCCTGTAGAGTATTAAAGCTTTTAATAGTTATCAGTGCATGTTAATGGTCTGGAAACTTCACATCCAAGTAGAGAACAATCCTAAAGATAAAAATTAGACGGTCCTCTAGCTACAACTGTCATATGAAGCATGAGTACATGGGAACCAGGAATGAATCTTCTGTATGACTAAAAGTGGGCAACTGCTGCTTGTTACATGCGTAAAACAATTTGGCCCAAGCCTGCCAACACACCCCTGTAAATTTGTACGACTAAATGCTGCATTTGGTTTTATATTATAGGAACAAACACATCTGTATTTCTGAGTATTTGAAGCAGAATTTTTAAACTTTGTATGTTTTGTTGTTTGTACTGATCTGTCAATGAGGCATTACATACTGAGAAAATATCCCTGAACTGGCTGTATTATAAGGTTTTACCTACAAATTATGAAATCAGTGAGTGGGTTATTTATCTTACCGATACACTTTTTTGTGGTGACGGCTTTTAAACATGTTGGTACATTGTTTTTCATCTACATTATGTCGGTATGGTGCAAACCTCCATATGAGGGTCGATCTGAATTCAATCAATCATGACGTCATGGATTTTCTTGTAACGGTTTTTATAGTTCATCTTGAATCAAATATTTAAGAATGAAGCCTGCCGACCTACCAGTGATTAAATACTTGTCTTTATAGTTTGACCTGAATGAATATTGAGCCGAACCCCACTGAAGCCTTTACTGACTTCATTACCATGTCAGTAAATGTGGGTTGATCTCCAAGCTTGTCCCTAATGCACTAACCCTTAAGTTATTTGTTTGTGCTAATACTGTTTGAAGAAATGGAAGGATATTAAGAGATTAGAAAGATGCTAACACTTCAAATCAGTGCAGATTAAAGAAACGTTACATCATTCAAACTTTTTTTGTTACAAATTTGCTTCTGTTTTTATTTAGTGACATAGTCTTGAAGGTGTCACTGTTTCAAAAAAGGGATTTTGAGTTTTAACCTTTAATCCAACACATCTTTGTTACTGATGTTATTCCAAGTCACCTTAATAGTTTTAATAATGTACTTTGCACTGAGGTCTTGTCTGAGTTTGAGTGTTTTTTCTTTAAACTCATGTCCTTCAAATGCGCACAAATCTGAAGGCCACAGTGGTTTAGTTAAATGATTCTATTCAACTATTGTTAGAAGATTGCTTGGATTATTTCTCTAGTGAGGGCATGGTTTAGCATTTTTGAATATGGTGATGCTGTAGCATGGGACTGCACAGAACGTGTATGCAACATTAGTTCAATAAAACCTTGTTCCATCCCTTAACTGTCTAATCTCCTTGTTTTGTTTTGTCTGTAATGTTTCATTGTGTAAACCATAGAGAGTCAACAAACCCTGAAACTTTTATTTTGACATCAATGCAAGATCCAGATTTTGGGAGCAGCAAAGTTAGTCTTTCATCCTATTAACTCTGAGCTAGCTTGACATATGAGATAATGTGTTGTGTTTTGAAAACCTATTTTCAGTATTTGTGTTTGTCTCTTATAATTTCCCTCAGCCCAAGGTGACTTCTTTAATGTGTCTAGTTTTGTCCCACTAACAGTTAAAAGCCTAAAGATAAAGCTGTCAGTATAGTTGCCAAAATGTTTCCTGTTGATTGATATCATCATTGCAACTCTGCAATATTTAACTGCACCATGAATGTTGTTTGTTAGCAGGATTATGCAGAAACTACTCAACTGATTACAAAAGCTGCTTTCAGACATTGAACCTGCACTGAACCTACTCCGGAGTTAGAATTTAGAATGCCTTTATTTGTGCTATGCATACAATGAAATCAGAAGTACTAATAAAAACACACAACCACAGAACAACTTCAAACAACCAACAACTGACTTGAAATAAATATATAAATATACTAATAAAGATTTACTGGCATCAAAATGTTGCAATAAAAAAATTCAATAAACAATGTCTATTGCACAAGTGCAATGTGAGCAACTGGAATGACGCCAGCGTTCTCCCAAGTGGAATCAATGTTTGCGTCCTGCCGCTGCACCACCCCTTTACCTGAACGCTCTGGAGGATATGTTGCTGTTGCGAACATGTCTGACCAGAGAATCTCTGGCAAGGTCCCCCTGTTAAAGGCAAACTCTGGTCCTGACCCAATTCTTTGGAGTTCCTCTTCTTTAAATATACCCAAATTGTTATATCAAGTGCTAATTAGAAAAATATACAATTTGGGATGTATACATTTATTAGCAAATTAATTTACCTCCAATAAAATTATTCATCGAAATTCCCTAAAACATGATGAAAGTACATTTTTTTACACAAATGAAATAATTTACAGGATATAAGGCAAACTAACACCAGTGATTGCTATTTCCACAATAACTGAAAGTGAATGTTTTGGGAATAAGGCTGTTCATCTGATTTTAAAGATATTAAACTCTAATAAATAAAAGTCTAATCAAACTAAAGGTTCGATGAGGCCCAGGTGCAAGTGTTGAATAGGGAAGTACTGTGCGATGTGTTGTGTTTGTACTCTTCCATCACCATTCAAAAGCATAGTTCTACTGTGGGACACAATGTAAACTTTACGCTGTGGTAGGAGCTGCCGGTATTCAGAGTTACAGTCTCATCTATTTATGGTACTTTTTCAAAAGTTATTGATTACAATCCATTAACTTCTCCATTATTGTCCTCTGCTTTGCTCTCGGTGACCTTCACAGCCTGTCTTAGGTGCTCCCACAGGGGGCGCTGTCCTGACATCTGACTGGACACTTTAGCTTTGGCATCTGTCCCACCTGCCTTGTGTTTCATGGTGTCCAGAGTAAACATATGCTTACAAACTAACTCTGGTGTGGGCTGAAGCACACTGTAGAGAGCCTGCAATGCCCGCACATCCTCCAAAGCATCATGGGCCTTGTAGGTCACACCCAGCAGCTCCTTCACCAGAATCTCCTGTCGAAAACTCTGGAGGCAGCGGTCCCTCAGCATCTCACGGGCCAGTGGTAGAGTGTCCACGCAGCCCTTGATTGATGAGTCAAAGCCTGCTCTGAGGTCCAGTTCTTCAAGAGCTCGAGCCAGCAAACGGCAGTCGAAGCGACGAATGTTGTGGCCGATGACAAGCGGGCGTCCGAGCATTCGAAGGAAAGCTATGAAGGAGACCAGGACCTCTCGCAGGGAATTGGTGAGGACAAGCTGACGATGGAGGTACAGCCTCTGTCTGCGAACCTTGAAGCCAGTCACTCTGGCTGCTCCCCGCTGCATCCGACAGCGAGGGAGGACGTAAAGGTTGAGTGAGTGTCCTCCACTCACTGCCGCCAGCTGGACGATGTCACAACTCTGACCTGGTGAAATAAAACCAAGCTTCAGAGGATTTTTCTCTGCACAGACCTTCCAGTTACTGGAGTGGGAAAGCAGCCGGGGTGAAAATCCAAATTACATTGTAGGCTGTTATGTTAACAACAAGGAGTTCTCAATGGGGCATGGAAGATAAGTGCAACATCTCACTTTCACACATACTATATCATGCTGGAATAGTAAATTACCTGGAAAAATCTAGAATGTCTGTTTTGGCAAATTCAGTGAAATACACGTGAAAAAACAACTTTATCACATTTAAGACAAAATGACACAAAAATGCACGTGTATATAGTCTCAGAGTATTGTCAGGGTTGTATTGTCTTCAACTGATGAATCCTCTACGTCCTTAATTAAGCAAAATACCCACATTTTTGTTGCTTCTCTTTCTTTCATACCATTGCTAACTCACGATAAGTGATTTAAAATGTAACTCAGGGCTTTTTGAACTTGTAGTTGATAAGTCTGACACTTTAGTCAGGACTTTCCATTACAATATGACAATATTTACCTAAGCCAAGGAGGTTGTGTTTGTTTCTTACGCAAAAAACTACTTAACCAGTTTCCATGAAATTTAGTGGAGGGGTGAGGCATGACCCAAAGAGGAACCCATTAACTTTTGGTGCAGATCCAGGATTTTTTTTATCACTAATTTTAACAGTGTGAGATACAGTGTTTATATAACATTTTCATTGATTTCTCAGAGGATAATAAATTAATCTTCATTAAAAAAAAAAAAAAATCAGGCACATCTAAGGGACTAATATTTATGGGATATATAAAAATCTGATTTTAAATGTGGTTTCATAAAGGGACTGTTGGACCTTGTTACTTGTTCCTAATGATTTAATTAACACACAGACCCACAGCCCATAATCTGACACACAAATATTCTACAACTAACTTTAGAGTCCATACAGTAGAATTTATTTAATTAATAAGACATTTCTGAAGTAAATTTAAGACTTTTCCATAAATCTAAGACATTTTTAAAAACCTGCAGTTAAAGGACGAGGTATAAGTGACACAGAAATAACTAAAGCTTCTAGCAGTGTTTGACTGGGTGGTGTGAGGTAAAAAACTCTGGTATGATCTACATATTATCATTTGCTCAGTGGAGACAATTAAAACAATTACACTTTAAAACCTTTAGCCCTTGATTTCCACAATTTGGGTCAAACATGTGAACATACATGCATGACACATGACACATGTATGTGTTGATTCTGATCATTATTTTCTTGTGTGTAGTTTTCTCCCATGTTAAAGTAATTGCCTATCAGTTGTTAGTCCATCCAATAGAACATATCTTACAGATTTAAACAAATATAATGTAATATTCTTAGAAGTATAAGTTCACAGTCAGGTAGTTGTGATGCAGTGACTGAATGTGACTCAACATGAAGACTGAAACAGCATCATCATGAAGTTTGATCTGTTAGCTCGTGTTAGCTAGTGTCAATGTTAGTTAGTATTTGTGAGTGTTAGCTAGTGTTTATTATTGTTTGTTAGTGTTAGCTAGCGTTTGTTAGTGTTAGCTAGCGTTTGTTAGTGTTAGCTAGTGTTTGTTAGTGTTAGCTAGTGTTTGTTAGTATTAGCTAGTGTTTGCTAGTGTTAGCTAGCGTTAGTGATCTTACCCAGTCCAGTCGTCTCCAGGTCAAAGAAAACCACAGACTGTGAGTCCTGCATCACGACACACTTCATAACACCTGACTCTCACATGTTGTCCACCAGTGAGGCAGAGGAGCTGACAGCTTATATACACAGACTGTATATAGTTTATACACCGGCTCTATACAGCGACGTGACGCTGCGTGTGTTTCACCATGTTAACTTTCCCTCCATGTTTTAAACACCAGCGACGGCCCCGACCGGAAATCCCGACGTTTTCAAAATATATCAAAAAGATGAATCGCTCACTATCTCATAATCATCACTCACTGTTTAATAATCATCACTCACTATCTCAT